GGGCTATCAGCAGCTGCAAACTAATATGGAATTGAACCTTTCTCCCTCTAACAAGCTGCCCTAAACAACTAGCCCCTCCCTGGTTCTTGTCCCCACATGGTGGGCTGTTCATTAATAGAGCCTTAACAGCAAGGCCTGCAGAAGCTCTGCTTTGCTTGTACTTGCCAAAGGCCACTTTCTGTGAATATGGCTGTGAACAGGTGAGCCTCTATTTGTGTATGTCATTTTTTTTTTTAAAAGATGGGGTCTTGCTCTGCCACCCAGGTGGGAGTGCAGTGGCACGATCATAGCTCACTGAAACCTTGAACTCCTGGCCTCAAGTGATCCTCCTGCCTTGGCCTCCCAAGTGTTGGGATTAGAGGTTCGAGCCAATGAGTCTGGCCTGTGTGTAATTTCTTAAATCAAAAAGTTGGCTGAAGTTTCATAATAGTTATAACTACCATTTATTGCATCTCTACATGCCAGCAGCTTTTACAAACATTAATCTTACGTGGTTCTCAGAACAATGCTGTAAGGTAGGTGGTAGCATGCTTGTTTTTATGGATTTGGAATCAAGGCTAAGTACCTTGCATGAGGTAAAGTAGCTGATAATGAGCTGAGGATTCGAATCCAGGTCAGTCTGGCCACAGAGCTGTCACACTGCCCTGCTGCTCACTCATTGTCCAGCCCTGGCCTTGCCTAAGAAAACACTGTTGCTAGTTTTTATTTTGCGAATGAGTGGGAAAGGAGTTGGAACAAAACATGCCCGAATATCTACTGACACTTTAGTTATACCACCGTGTCTCAATAACATTTCTGAAAATTAAATATTCTAGCTCCTGTTCTTGTCTTCCTTTTTGTTGCTTCTAGAATAATTATAGGTTTCCCTTTAACATATTTTATCATGTTAAAACCAAAGTTGTTTTCCTGATAAAAATACAGGTTTATTGTAGAAAATGTAGATGTACACAAAAGGGACACATTTTCCCAAACCGCACACCAGCTTTGGTTAAGAATGTGGTCACAGGAGCTGGACTGCAGGGGTGTGAATCCCTGCTATGGAACTTATCATTTGTAGGACCTTGGGCCAGTCACTTCTGTGCCTGTTTCCTGTCTATGAAGTTGGAAATAATATCCTTCTTCACTGGGTTTTTGTTAAGATTAAATGAGTTAATAGCTGCAAAACCCCCAAAGTGAACAAGAGATGTTTAACATTTTTTAATAACTTCCTCTCTGAACCTGTGTATATACATGTGTAAATATATATGCTAGTGTGCATATATTAATAAACCACGATGACATATTTTTCAAACCAGCCACTTTTCATCTGATAATATATTGTGACCACCTTTCCTTACCTGTAAATAGCCTTCCCTATTATTTGACAGCTGCCTACAACTCCACCATGTGCTGGTGTGAGTGGAACTGAATCCATATTGTTGGGCGTGCAGATTTCCAGTTTTGTACTAACATAACACATTTTTAAACAAATTCGAGTAGTTGTTATGCCTTGAATGGTGTCTGTCTGGGTGATGGGAGCTTCCGGCTCTTTTCAGAGCATGCCTAATGCTTCCTGCCCTGGTGTGAATGAGGACCAGGAAGTACTCCCTTTGGGGTTCTGAAGCTGCCGTAATTCTGAGGCATCTCTGTGAACTTTGCATAAGCCAGCCCTAAGTGGGGAACTCAGACTCTGCCCCTCCCCTTTTAAATCTAGGAAAACCATGTTTTGGCATTTAATATTTCTGATATGAATTATCTCTTGTTCCATTCTTGCTATGTCTGAGGTGCTCTCTAAGCAGCCTGTCCTTAAAAGGGCTTGGAGGTGAAGCCCTGCTCCCTGCATCCTGGGTTGGATCCTCAAATCCTGCCCTTCAGGGTGGACAGCTGCAGTCACTTCTGTACCGTGCTGGGTACCATGCCATGCCACTTTAGTTTTCAGTTTCTGGTGACATGCTTGCTTGATTCTTTATCTTTCAGTAAAAATTTTTAATTAAAAAAAGCCACAAAATGTCATTTCAGATGTTAGGTATAGCATAAACCAAGCAGTGAAACTTAGATCAGGTCCAAGATCAAGTTTCAGAAGACTTAGTTCCATAAATTTTTTTTGGTATTTATTGTCATTTCCACTTTTTTTTTTTAAATTTCAGAGTATCACGGGGGTACAAATGCTTTGGTTACATGGATTGCTTTTGTACTGCTTGAGTCAAAGTTACTAGTGTGCCCATCACCCAGATAGTGTACACTGTACCCATTAGGTGTGATTTATTCTATTGATGTAGAATCCTTCCTGCAGGTCTCAGATTGGCAGAAACCATCGATTAGCTCCCCTCTCCTTTCCCCCCATCTCTCCATTGCCTTTCATTACTAGCAAACCAACAGGTCATGTTTGAAGATCCTGCTCTTGCCTGTCCACCCCCCACCTTCAGGTGCATTGTATCTGCAGGGATGTACTTGTCATTGGGTCTGAGCTTCAGGAGGCAACAGAGTGATGGGCAGAAGTGATGTGGGGTCAGTAGCCTCTTGTGGGATACACCTCTTAAAAGGTTTGTGGCTTTAATGAGATTTTTCTCTTACAGTCTGAGAAGAAATCTTCAAGTGTTGGAAACCTGGCATTTCAAATAGCATACATTCCAAAGGAACTCAGCTGTGTTTTAGGACATGTTGACTGACCCACCTCAGATGTAGCCATTTTCCTGAGACCTTTAAGAGAAGGGCTTGATTTTTCACTCTAATCTAAGGGGTATATCATCATCTCTCAGAAAGAATCTAATAGGCTATTTAGGGTGATATGTCTGCCAAAATTACAGAGGGGTGGGTGTGTCTTGGAGGTGTGCTGGAATGACATTGGGACTTAAAAAGAGGAATAATGTGTGTATTCCACATTTGTTTGTAAAATTCAAAGCATCAATTACTCTCCGCAGTATTTTCCAAAGTGCTTTTTAATTAGTTTCCTTCTGACACCCTCCCTGTAAGAAAGGTTAAGTAGCATTACCCTCCTTCCATAGATGGGGATGTGGAAACCAGGAGAGGTTAATTGACTTGCCTTGGGCTCTACGGTGAGGCCAACCCAGCCGGAAATTCCGCTGCTTGTCCCTCCTGCTTTCCGCTCCCCAGCTTGGCAGAGCCAGGGCTGCCGCAGGGCAGGCCTCACCAGGGCAGGAAAAGCTCCCAGCCAAGGAAAGGACATTTTGCTCAGCCATATTCTTGCAGTCCTCTTTGGGGACTGCTGAGGTGGGGAGATAACTGGTCTCTTCAAAGTCATAGTCCAAGATCCTCCATGTACAAACTGTTTTGCTGCCTTGAGCTAAGCCGTAGGAGTGATGGATGGCAGAAAGAAGTTATTTTTGGTTCAACTGTTCAGTCTTGGCAGGGGGCCCTTTAAATTTGAAATGTAAACCTGACATCTACAAAAGGTTTAGGAATCTGATGTCATTTTCTCCCTACAGTTCACATGGTGGCCTTGTCTGTAGAGGGGTTATCAATTATCCCTGGTGCACATATCCGTGTTCTCTACAATTCAGATACTGTAAAATATGTAATTAGGACTACAAAGATGGCTTCTACTGTAGAAGATCCCTGCATCTCATCTTCCTGCCCCCAAGAGACCTACTAAAGCTTGACTCTTGGCTCACTGCTCCCAGCAAGGCAGCAGATCCTCACTACAAAGCCAGGTTGGTGGTGCCATTGGTGACCTGGTCTTAGATAAGAAGTTACCATACTTAATGCTTCTGTTATTCTTTTGTCTTGAATGTACTTTGTACTTTCTCCTCTGGCTCTTTAAAGGCCTGCACAAAATTAGCCAAAATACTTGTAAGACTGCTGTGGGTTCAAGGAAAGCAAGCATAAGAGTAAGGAAAACATGGACCTTTGAGGCAGCACAAGTGGTTTAAGCCCCACTCCATACAGCTTCCAAGCTATATAGCCTTAGGCTAGCGGGGTCTTCTTTTTGAGCTTCAAGTGGGCTGTAAAATGGTAATAGCTACCTCGATGTTAAACTATAAAACCACACTAAAAGACCACTGCTTCTTAGACAGAAGCAGATCATGTTTTGGTCCAATGAGAGGTGGCATGAGAATGGGGTTGCCACTGCTCCTCTGACACCAAGACCACTCTCCTTTGCATTCTGTTTACCTTAAAACGGGGGTGGGGGCGTGCTTGGGAGGGTAGAGTGGAGGTTTGCCGTCTGGGGCTTGGAACTCTACACATTTTCCCGGGAAATCAAGGCTAGACATGGTGAAGGGATAAGGCCAGACTGACATGACCTTTCTCTTGTGTTTTGTCTGGAGCAGGGATCCCTGGTCACCTCCCTTGCCCTTTTCTTCCCGGATGGAACAAGATTATCATCGGGGTGTGTGTGAACACCAGGACTCAGAAGACAAAGGGATGGGCTCCGATTTTGAGAACTCTGAGGACAGGGAAGGGGACCCAGAAGAAAGACAAATGGGCTTTAATCCACAGGACACAGACAAGAAAGAAGGCCACCCAGAGCTGGAGATGGGCTCTCACCCACAGGACTCCAGGGAGAGAGAAGTAGTGCCCAATGTCTGCACAGGTGAGGAGAAAGCTGGAATTTCTACGGAAGTTGCCCCACTCACATTAACCTCTAGCTCCTCTAGAATCATAACCAGGGGCAGCACTGTCTGGGGGTGAGCTCTCTAATGGGGACCATAAAGCAGAGTCTGTATTAACTTAGCTTTTCGAGTGTTAGTCCCTAGGAGCATCCTCTTCTCCAATACAGTTGGAGGTGGGCTGTGTTAGTAAACATGGGTGAAGAGCCTCACTTGCTGGCGCAGCACTTCACAGCATAGAGAATGCGGCTATAAATTAATACCTATAACAACACTATAGTAGAATTGCCTAGGTAGTATTGGAACCTACCTCATAGCGTTGTTGGGAGAGTTAATTGAGTTGCTGCATGTAAAGAGTTACTTAGGTTGGGTGCAGTGGCTCACACCTGTGTGGCTCACACCTGTAATCCCAAAACTTTGGGAGGCTGAGGTGGAAGGATCACTGAGGCCACTGAGGCCAGGAGTTGAGACCAGCCTAGGTAACATAGTGAGACCCCTGTCGTTACAAAAAGTTTTTAAAAATTAGCTGGGTGTAGTGTGTAGTGACACACACCTGTAATCTCAGCTACTCGGAAGTCTGAGGCAGGAGGATAGCTTGAGCCCAGGACTTGGAGGCGACATGAGCTATGATTGCTCCACTGCACTCCAGCCTGGGCGATAGAGCAAGAAGACCCTGTCTCAGATTTAGAAAAAAAAAAAGTTACTTAGTACACTGCTAGGCAAATAGAAAATACCCAGATGTTTACAGTTACAGTCCTCATCTCCCTTTGCAGATAAGTAAACTCAGTAAGTGACCTGCCTAGGTTCATGTGTGTGGCTAATTCCCAAAGTGGCTGAGGCCTCTGCTAAATCCCTTGCTATTCCTGACCTGAAAGAGTGAATGCTGGGCCTCCACCCACCTCCTTGTTTCTTTGGGCATTCATTGCTTTACCCTGCACAGTGCATGCTCTGGGGACAGAAATGAGGTGAAATATTTTATGGCCAGGACTGTGAGGTTACATTCCTTCTCCCCCAGCCCCATATCATCCCAGCCTCCCTGCTGCCCTCCCCCACAGCGCTTGACCTTTCCCATCTCAGCCACTTCCTGGAGTGGGATAAACAACCAGAGACCAATAGGTGTTCTCCTGGGCCAGCCTCTAACCTGGGCTCACCAGCTCTAGGCTCTGTGCTCCCTTCCCCCCTTTCCCCATCCACAGGAAAGTCCATGAGGTGAGTTCAGTTTGTTGTTCCACCTTAAGCAGTTCGGGGTTGACCAAACATATTTTAAAAATCAGTCCAGGGCCTGGTTAGGCCACACTGGCCTTGTCTTTTGAGGCAGGAGCCTTAAAAGGCACTGGAAGCTCTTGGAGTCAGCAAACCTTTTCTCCTGAGATCCATCCTACGGACTCCCACCTGGCACAGACGTGACCATCTCAAGCACAGACTGTCAGGCCTTCAGATGGCTCTGCTAGGCGATGGCGCAGGTACAGTGAGTGGGGCCAAGGCCCCGGGCAGCTGCCTGAAGGACTGGTGGACGAAGGTGGCCATTGAGTGCACCCTCCTTTAGGCCTTTCCCTGGAGGAGCCAGGTGGGAGGGAGGCTGGAGTCTAGGGGACTTGGAGGAGTGGAAATTGAGTGTGCCTGGGGGATGAGGACGACTCCTTGGCCCACACTCTTATTATTGAGACTGCTTCCTCTGGGCTTGCTTACCTTCCGAGTGCCGAATATAGTAACCTTCATTGCCGCCTTTTCTGTTGCAGCGGGGCTGCTAAGTGAGGAAGAAGGGGTTGCTCTCCGGGAGGAAGAGGATGACCAAGCTGGCATAGCTGACATGGGGACGTTCCCAGGACTGTCCGAGTCAGACAGCATATCCCGGAGCCCCCGGGAAGAGGAGGAGGAGGAGAGTGGTGGGGAGAACCGGCTAGAAGAGGAAGAGGAGCAGCCGCCCCCTCCGGTACTGCCCTGGAGGCGACACCTCTCCCTGGGCAGTCGGCACCGGGGTGACAAGACTGCCCACCGCCGCTTCCACCGGCTCCACCACCCCATGGCTGTGGACCTCGGGGAGCTGGACAGCCTGGTGGCCAGCATCATGGACGCGCCCACCATCTGCCCCGACTGCGGGGAGAGCTTCAGCCCGGGCGCCGCCTTCCTGCAGCACCAGCGCATCCACCGCCTGGCCGAGGCCGCCGCCGCGGCCAGCCTGGAGCCCTTCGGCTTCGCGGGCGAGTGCGGCGCCATGGTGGGGATGATGGGCGTGGGCGTGGCGGGTGGCTTCGGCACGGGGCCCGCGCTGGCCCGGCCGCCGCGGGAGAAGCCCTTCCGCTGCGGGGAGTGCGGCAAGGGCTTCAGCCGCAACACGTACCTGACCAACCACCTGCGCCTGCACACGGGCGAGCGGCCCAACCTGTGCGCCGACTGCGGCAAGAGCTTCAGCTGGCGCGCCGACCTGCTCAAGCACCGGCGCCTGCACACGGGCGAGAAGCCCTACCCGTGCCCCGAGTGCGGCGAGGCCTTCAGCCTCAGCTCGCACCTGCTCAGCCACCGGCGCGAGCACGCGGCGGCCAGCGGCGCGGGGGCGGCGGCGCTGCGGCCCTTCGCCTGCGGGGAGTGCGGCAAGGGCTTCGTGCGCCGCTCGCACCTGGCCAACCACCAGCGCATCCACACGGGCGAGAAGCCGCACGGCTGCGGCGAGTGCGGCAAGCGCTTCAGCTGGCGCTCGGACCTGGTGAAGCACCAGCGCGTGCACACGGGCGAGAAGCCCTACATGTGCTCCGAGTGCGGCGAGACCTTCAGCGTCAGCTCGCACCTCTTCACGCACAAGCGCACGCACTCGGGCGAGCGGCCCTACGTGTGCCGCGAGTGCGGCAAGGGCTTCGGGCGCAACTCGCACCTGGTCAACCACCTGCGCGTGCACACGGGCGAGAAGCCCTTCCGCTGCGGCCAGTGCGAGAAGCGCTTCAGCGACTTCTCCACGCTCACGCAGCACCAGCGCACGCACACGGGCGAGAAGCCCTACACGTGCCTCGAGTGCGGCAAGAGCTTCATCCAGAGCTCGCACCTGATCCGCCACCGCCGCATCCACACCGGCAACAAGCCGCACAAGTGCGCCGGCTGCGGCAAAGGCTTCCGCTACAAGACGCACCTTGCGCAGCACCAGAAGCTGCACCTGTGCTAGGGCTGGGTCCGCGGGAGCTTGCCCTCCGGGGAGCGTGTGGGGAGCAGATGTCCTGGGACAGACCCTGGGGAAGGGGCGGGAGGACGCTTCTGAGAGTGACTGCAGAGCCTATTGGTGTTAGGGGGTCCTGAAGGGGAGGGTTGAGTGAGAGTTCTTTCCGGAGGTGATGCCTTCCTGAAGTACATGCTGTAGGGGGTGAAGAGCGTGGAGGAGCAGGAGCTTTGAGGGCCTTGAGGAAGGGAGTTGGGGGTGGGGTGGGAACAGGTGGCAGGCAGTAGAGTAGGGTGGGCTGTGATGGCCTGTGGGAATCAGGGGAGAGGGTGTGGTTGGAGCGAGGGTTTGGGGTATAAGTAGTTCTATCCTGGTCCCACCAGGTGGTAAGCCAGTGTTTGCCCTTGTCCCCACACAGCAGCTATAGCCCCACGAAAAGTAGGGGAACCCTGTCGATCCCATAGGAGAGAGGATTTTTAGAATTCTCTTCCCTTCCTTTCTCTGAGCCACAGTTAGCTGCTATTTTGAGGCATCCAGGGGAAACTGGGCAGAAAACTACACACCCTCATTTCAAGGGGCAGCTTCTAGCACTTAGAAATTCATTTATAACTGGTTCTCAGATCTCCTGGGAAATCCTGTTCCTGCCCCTGGTTCTTTGCTACTTCCTTGAAACTACTCTAGCTTCGGGCTGAGGCAAGGTTGTCTACCTGGATGATCGGCCTCCTGCCCCCTCCCCTCAGCCCGTGTATGTGCCACATCCAGTTTTTCTTTCAGGTCTCACCTGTGATCTTTTAAGTGCAAGGAAAAGGAACAACCCCAGCTATGTGTGACTTTCCCAGGTCAGCTTGATGCATGTGTTTCAAGTGAACTTCAGGCCATCAACAGTTGCCCTAGTGCCCTGCTACGAAAGGTAGCTAGCTCAGAGTTTTGCTGGCCTTTATGTGAGAAATGCAGGAAAGCCAAGCGTTCACATGTTGGGATGCAAGGCTCGTCTGTCTCATTTGCCTTCACTTTGCATCTGTGTACCCTGTCCCCCACTAACCCCCACCTCCATCCATATCGATGAGGGATTTAGTCCAAGTAGGAAAGTCTTCTTCCTACATGTGGAGGCACAGTAGAAATCTCAAGGCTTTACACAAAGAGGGCACAGTCAGGGAGAGGTGTAAATGCAAAATTGCCAAATAGCACAAGCAATGAATGTTCTCTGGTGATTCTATAGATGCCAAAATCGCACTTTGGTATTTCCAAAGTGCTTTATGCTTTTTAATGATCGTTAGTTGTTTCTCACATCATTGTGAGGTAGATCAGTATTATGACCCCTGTCTTAGGGAAGCCCCGGGGACAGGAGTGTAGCAATCTGTCCTGAAGAGAGCAAGCTGATGACAGTGTGAATAGTTGTGGTCTGACCTTTTGCGTTCTCCAGCTCAGCTGCTAGGAACACTTACCTGTCAGTCATGATTTTTATAATAAAATAAGGACACTGAAAATTGTTATGCTTGATGGAAAACTTAAGGCTAGCCTAGAAGGGCCAAAAATGTCCTTAATTGACAAAGCTGGTCTTTGTCACCTAATTAAGGTATCCTAGCTATGTTCCCTTTCTAGTAGGGGGCTGTAGTTAGATGACTCTTGTATAGATTTCAGTTACCTATGCTGAAAGTTCCTCCCTTAGGTTAGCCTTTAGAAGTTAGAGTTGTGGAAAGCAGTATTGTTTTCTTCACTAGCAATTGTTACCCTATACCTTTCATGGAAGCATCTTCAGAAACTGTTGAACACAGTTGAAGGGGAAAAAAAAAACCTAAAAATTGTTTTTACAGTTTTAGCAAAATTTCTGTGGATGCTAGTAATTTATATTGTGATCAGTTGTATTCTAGTAAAGAACCTCTTTGGGGACTGTAGGAAAGCATGTTTTTGTCATAATAAAAACACTTTTTAAAAAATCCTGATAATTCTGGGCTTGTATAATACCTGTTAATCTTGCCCTCTTAATCAGTTTATTGTTATTCACAAATGCAAATAGATTTTCAAACTATAGACAGTTTTGAAAGATATTACTTCCTTTTCATTTTCTTTTAGTCAAGAGTAATAAATACAAGCAAAGCAAGTGTCCATTGTTAATTCTGACTCTTGCAGTCCGAATACTAAGTGTGTAAGACCCATTTGAAAAGAATATAGCCAATTTGTAGGTGATCTTACTCCTTGTGGGTTTTTTCCATGAACATCTACCTCTTCCAGCTGTTTTAAGTTCTCTCAAGTCTGTGCCTATGAAATCTCATCCAACTTTTGATGATTCATGGGTTGATTATCCACTTTATAGGTTATTTGTTCTTTTGCAGCCATCGTCATGCATAGTCTCATCTGCATCAAATATGCTACGTATCAAGGGTTCAACAGGGAGTGGAGATTAAAGCTAATGTAAAATAATGTAGTGGCCATAGAAATCTTTGGACTTCATTTACCTCTTGTTTTTCCTGTTACCATGGATAAGAGAGTCAGCCACTATGTTGTTACTCCTTCTATGAACAAATCCCTTAGCAGAAGCAAACAGTTCAACCACAACATCCCACTCTGTTGGTGCATTTAAAATGTGATTCCATTTTTCTTACAACTCTTCAGGGAACCTATCTGTATTAAGTAAGGTTAAATGCATTCAGGAAGTTGTTTCTTATATCTAGTTTTAGAATAATAGTACATCTTCAGCAAACCCTGTTACCTGTGGTTCACCCTTGAAAATGTAAATCTGAAGACTCCTTCCACCAACTCATTAATGATGGTGGAGGCAAGTGTATTATTTGTTTCCTGGAGAATATGATCAAGAGCAGTCTTCCTCTGCTACCCTTTACTAAGCAAAACCTGGAACAGTTTAAATAGGCTAAATGGTTTTGATTAAATCTTGAGCTCTGAGTTGAAAGGAGATGAGACATTATCCCCTTGAGCCATGTCGTCTCTTTACAATTAAGAGGCTGTACATATGTGAAAAAGTACAAATTAAGAACCTGTGTTCATAGACAATCTGAACTGTTTCTGAAGTTTGTGCACATTTTCCTTCATTGTAATGTTATTTTACAGCTGTTTGTTAAAATAGTGAATAATTTAATGCTCCTAAAAGTAACAGGTTTTGTGTGAGTGTGTGCTTGTGTATGTGAGAATTGCCTTATTTTCAGGTTATTTTATTTAATTATGGTTCTTTGGACAGAATTCTGGTGTTCAGCAACCAATATGGAATATTTGTCATTAAATCTACATCAGTCTTTTACCATGTCATTCTTCCTTATTTGTCACCCATTAAATGTCAGTTTGATCTGTGGAAGCTATGTTCCGGTACAACAAGGGTTGGCACTTTACCAAATTTGGTCTGCTTTCTTTTTGTTCATAAAATTTTATTGAGCTGGGCGTAGTAGCATGTGCCTGTAGTCCCAGCTACTTGGGAGGCTGAGGCGGGAGGATCACTTAAGCCCAAGAGTTCGAGATCAGCCTGCAACATAGCCAGACCCTGTCTCAAAAAATTAATTAATTTTTTAAAAAGTTAAAAAAAAACCCACTTTTATTGGAATGCAGTCATACCCGTATAACCATGTTTACATATTGTTTATAGCTACTTTCACACTACAATGGCAAAGCTGAGTAGTTACAACAGAGGCTATGTGGCCCACATCCTAAGATATTCACTATCTGGACCTTTACAGAAAAAGTTTGCTGACTCCTGCTCAAGAATGTTCAGGTGGGTCCTAGATTATCCTGAAGTTGGCTGATGGCCGATGTCTAAATGGTCTCCCATTCTAACCAGTAATTGAGTGCAACACTTGCATGCTAACGTGCCTTCGGGATATGGGGAACGTGTTAATGTTATACCTGGTATCAGTTTCCAAAGATCTGTGTCTTTATTCCTTATCAATCTGTGGGGGACTTTGGGAGGTGATCAGGGACAGGTAGTTATGGAGAAGGGAGACAGTCTCATCTCCAATCTATAAGAAGTGTATTCCTGAATCACATAACAAAGTATTTTCTTCCCCCATTCTCAGAAATGTAACTTTGGTACTGATAATACTGAGTGGGACTTACCAGCCAGACTGGCCTTTTGCTCAAAATATTTTTGTCTCGCCCAACCTTATAGAAATAGTTGACAGTTTCTAAGGAAGGGATTATCAAGACATAGAAAAGAGGAAGCACCTTATTTTCTTTTAGTGATCCCAACTACCTTTTTGTTTGAGTGCCTGCAAGCCCTTTCCCTGCCTAGCAGGGCCATACAAATGCTTGGTCCTAGTCTTGGAGGGAGGCAGTAATGATGTGATCATGACATTCCTCCCCTAGCCTGACTATTCTGGCTCGAAGCATCTGCTAGACTAGTTCCGGGTCCCACGGCAGCTCTTGAGAAAGCTGTATCAAATCAGGTATTTTAATATACATAAACTGTTATTAAGTAAGTACAGCAGTAAACCTTGTCCTCTGGGCTATGCCTTGATGGGTCGCCCAGCCTGAATTTGCTGTTAGAGTGGGCCTCTGCCCACATTCCACTTAGAGAAACCGTGTTCAGCCTGGAATTCTTGGGGTTTGATTAGTGTAGCCTAGAGATTTTCTTAACCCTACAGGTTAAGGTTTGTTTTTTTTAAAATATTTAGAGATTGATTAATTGGAATGAGGCCCAAGTACTTGTAATTTTATAAAAGCCCCCCAGGCAATTTTGATGGGCAGACAGGGTCGAGAACTCTATAGGACCAATTAGGCACCTCCTTTCTTTCTTGGGGATTCCAGTAAGTATAACACATAAAAGCCTCAAATCCTCTCGTCTCCCAAGGGGTACAGAGGCAGAGAGCATTGTGACGTACAACAGGATTTTCTGCCTGTCTGCTCTTGGCAGCTCTACCTTTCACACACAGCTTCTCCAAATACTAAATAGTCATGATAACATAATAAGCAAGGGCCAGAACAGTGTCTGTCTCAGCTGCTCATTGAATAATGCCTCATACTATGTCTTTTTCCTGTCTCTCTGATCATCTTCCTGCACTCAGCTCACTTAAAGCAAAGTTCCACGTGCTGCTCGTTTTTTTTGAGACAGAGTCTCACTCTTTTGCCGGGCTGGAGTGAGTGCCGTGGCGTCATCCTAGCTCACAGCAACCTCAAACTCCTGGGCTCAAGCGATCCTTCTGCCTCAGCCTCCCGAGTAGCTGGGACTACAGGCATGCGTCACCATGCCCGGCTAATTTTTTTCTATATATTTTTAGTTGTCCGATTAATTTCTTTCTATTTTTAGTAGAGATGGGGTCTCGCTCTTGCTCAGGCTGGTTTTGAACTCCTGAGCTCAAACAATCCGCCCGCCTCAGCCTCCCAGAGTGCTAGGATTACAGGCATGAGCCACCGCGCCCGGCCAGTGCTGCTCGTTTTCTCAGCTGCCCTTGGCAGCTATGTAGTTTCCTTGTGCTTTGCCCCTGCTGGGAGAGGGCCAGAGACACCTGGCCAGCCTCCAGCATGAACTGCCTGGTGCTTGGCTCTTCTGTTTTCCCTGTTGAGCCCTGAGTCCCCTGCAGATTGCAGTCCTGTGTTTTCAAGGTCATCTCTGCTAACCCAAAGTACATTCCAATGGTTTTCAATTTCCAGCTGCTCCTATGGGATCCAGGCCACAGCACTCTGCATCCATCGGTGCCCTGCCTTGCCACAGCAGCAGCAAAGGCTCAGCTTTGGAAACCAAGGAGGTGGGTGGCAAGGTGTTTCGTATACCATGTTGCCTTGTGTTTAAGAAGTTTGGAAAAGGTATCAGTGTATGTACAGTATTCAAGCTGGCTTCCTCACACATATTAATACAGTTAGAGGATTTTCAACCTAAGTGAAAGGATTGACAGGCTCTAGTTACTGAAGACCAGGGATTCACGGGAAGTGCAGTCATTTTATTCACAGAAGACACATCACCGAGATGCCTTTCCTGACCTAGTGCTGGAGTGGTTCTGCATAGGTGTTATAACAATACCCCGTACACGTTATCTGTGTATGGTTGGACTCCCCATACCCCAAGGCTGTGTCTTGTTGAGAACAGAGCCCCTGAGAAGTTCACTGCATGATACATGCTGAGTGTGCTAGGTGTGGTGCTCAACACTGGGGAGACAGGTGCGAGAGAGATGGAGAAGCCTGCACATTCCAGCACTGTGTAAGAGTGAAGGTGAAGGGTGATTTTTTACCTGCCTAGCATCAAACCCAGTCTACTTGTGGTGAATTATTTTTCAAACTGTAAGTATGACTTTTGGGGTTTGAGGCCCTGGGGCTGCTGAAGGGGAGGGGTCGGGGAAGTGGACGGGAGGAACTTCCTAATACTAAGGCTCCACATACTGTGCATGGTCAAGATGGTACCTTCAGCAAAGGCTCAGGGCTAAGCAGATACCTCTGCTGAGGACTTTCCAACTATAAGTCAGAGTCACCAGCCTTGCTGCAAATCAGGCAATGTCCACTTTATCTGGCTTTGTGCAGAGGAAAGGGACAGTGTGTGACCTTGGAGAGGCTAGTGAAGCAAGGGACTTGAAAAGGATCTGGCTAGACATTTCTCTTGTCAGATATAGTGTTAGTAAATGTCTGAGTAAAACCGAAACAAGGAATGTCTCAAGGTTTCGGCAGAATTAGCTCTACTGCTTTGCAGTTGGGTCGAAGTTAGTAGATATAGTAGGAGCTGGGACACGCTTCACAGCCAGAGGGGCACTGGACTGAGAGAGCCACCGTTCAATGTTGCTGCAGCCAAGGCTGAGCGCCGCAGGTAGACTTGATCTTGGCATCATCTGTGCAGTGGAAAGATGCAGGCGTGAGGTGTGGGGAGAAGATCAAGCAAAATAACAAACACGAAGGTTCTTGGAAGTTTCAGGGGCCTTGCAAATGTTGGGAGGCAAGGTGGTCACAGGGTGGCTGTGCCCAGTGCAGCAGCGAAGGGGCTGCCGAGGGGCATTCTGAAGTCTTGCAGCAGCTCCTGGGAGCCTGGCAGGAGGAGAGAGAGGCAGTTACTGTGCATGTGGACTGTCTCCTCTGGATGTCCAGCTCCTGGGGGTGAGGGAATGGGAGGGCGTGGCCTTCCCTTTCCTGAGGACAGAGGAAGAAAGGAGGACCCAGTTTTACTGTCCCTTTGAGGGTGCTGGGGAGTGTACAGGGCAGAGCTTTGGCATTAACTGGCAGTGGCCTTGAGCAAGGCACTGACTTTTCTGGGTTTCTGTTTTCTCTTCAGTAGGCACTATCTCTGTTGGCTCTGCCCACTCTAATGTCTAGTGATTGTCAAAGAGCTTAAAACCTCCTTGGCAAACAATCCATAGCTCAATTGCAAGAATGACAAGAGGCTGAGTTTAAGTCAGCCATAAGTTCTGCAGTTCAGCAGTCATCAAATACCAGGGAGGGAGGGCATTGATACTTGGTAAGCTCCTTCTTGGCCCCAGGGGTATAATGCCACTTCACAGATGAGGTGCCAGGTGCCACTAGAGCCAGGGAAGGGATAGGAAACCACTTCCTCCAATAGCTTTGGCTTCACACAAACAAATAATCAAACGGAGGATTCCGTTGTCCTAACACTTAGCTGCAGAAGCGTGGAGGTGCCAGAGGATGCAAAACCATTTTATAGTTTTACACACCTTCATTTTGCAGGAAAGGAAACAGACCCAGGAAGGTGAAGAGATTTGCTTAACTTGGATGGCAAAATTGAAATAACTCAGGATTTTCACTCTTATTTGCAGAAATAGTCTGATTGTAAAACAAGAATACTCCTCCTTTTTTTGCTATCCTCTCCTCCTCTCCGCTGTCCCCCTCTCCCCTAGCTACTTCTGTTCCTATACCATGAAGCGCCTGCCTGGCTCCATTCATGCAGGGCCCTAGTCCCACAAGCTGAAGTTCAGGTGGGAGGGCTGGGCTGCAGGGCCTGACAAACAGTTCAGGCAGCTGGCATGCTAGTTAAACCTGCCCTCTTTCAAAATGTTCTCTCATTCCATTTTTTTCTTCCTTAACAAATATGTTGGTAGGGCAGCCTCCTGCTCTGTGCCTTCATGGCCCCAGGAGGCTATGCCTCCCCCTCTTCCCTTTTCAGCTTGGGGTTAGCAAATATTGGGTAGCCATTACAGGCGGGTATAGAGTCCAACTCTGTCTTGCTTAGGAAACACTCATACTTGAACAACCTCCAATCCACTTCCTAAATCCTGTTCATTCTGGTCCAGGGACATTTTCTTTGAGAGTCAATCCTTCCATCCTTCCTTCCTTCTTTCCTTCTTCCTCTCCCTCCCTTCCTTCCTTCTTTCCCATTCTGGACCAG